ACGCCTGACTCCCGAGGGTTTCACCAATGAGGACTGCCAGAAGGCCAGAGAATGTCCACAAAGGTGACCGGCCTCAGCGGCATCAGGGACATGCCAGAGAAAAACCACAGGCAACGCTCTCCACCAACCGGGGTCAGGGGATGACGCAGACGGCCCGCCAGCACCCAGTGCCAGCACCCAGCAGGCCAGGGGCAGCTGGACACTCCCTCACAGGCACACGGACACTTAGGAAAACTGCCCAGTGTCCTCCACTGGAGCTGCACACCCCCAAACCAGCAGCAACAAGATGCCGTGGGGGTGCAGTGTGAAGCGTGGGGCCGCCTGGCTAGAGACCCGTTTGGAGGTCTCCCATAAAGGGGAGCCACACCAGCGCCTGTGCACTCGTGTGAAAACTTACTGAGGTGCATGCGTGGGGTCTGTGCCCCCTTCCACACATACACACAAGTAACAAGGGTTTTAATCAACGAGTTTCTTAGGAAGGAGTCTTCAACCTCCGTCTCCTGCCCTCTGATGGACCCTGCGAGGGCAAGGACAGGCCTCGGTGGACAAAGGCCGGCCACCAGAGACTGCGGTTCCCACAGAGGACGGCCTGGGAATTCCGAGGCCGACACAGGTGCAGGGGAGCTGAAGGCCGGGTGAGCCCGGGGTCGGGTGTCACACCCGGAAAACCAGAAGTGCGCCCATCACCTGGGGTGCGCAACGGGTGGAGCGGGGACCCGTCTCCGTAACCCGTACCCAGGCCAGCACCGACACCGTGCAGCGTGAGCTAGAAAACTGAGGAGTCCAGCTGTGTCCACCCAAGTGGCTTTCTCTAAACCAGGGACGCACAAACGCTGCGGTGTCCAGAAAGACCGGTAGGGGAGGCGTGCTCCAGGGGGTGAGGCCTGCTCACACGCGGGTATCACCCCGAAAGCCGCAGGAACAGAAACCACGCTCAGAGGTGAACACAGCAGAATTTACTGCTCCTTCTCTATACTCCGTGCCAGCCGCCGTTCACGGCCTGGGACCAGCCCGACAGTCACCACCCAGGTGGTCAACCACGCAGGCAGAGTGGCGGCCACTTCCCTTTCCTCCTGGAATTTAGAGAACTGAGACGAATTTCAGAAACCTCATTTACATTCCTCATCTTCCAGTTTCAGACTCGAAATGTGGCTGTCAGTGTCCACTTTCAAAAGGAGTTTATTGTCTGTGGCCAAAGAGACTGCCTGCTATAGAAATCCCCACGACATTTTAATTAATACATATTTACTCCAGATTAGAAGACCTCTGGTTTCTGATTACTACATTGATACATTTAAAATTATCTTTCCCTTCCAAACATGAAGTATTCTGAAACAAGTGTGCTAAGATTATAGAATCATACCTCTACCTGGTTCTCTTCCTGAGAAAGCTGACCCTGATCTTAATTTTCGGGCTACACTGGGGTCAAGTCGCTCCTACGTCCCAAAGGCCGAGAGGAAGTGCCAGCCGCCGCTCTGGTGCGTGGGCTCTGCCTCCCTCCCAGGAAGGAAGGTGAGTTGAGTGGAGGGTGGCACCCATCTGCCCGACCCCAAGCACGCCGCAGCTCTCAGGGAGCAAACACCCATACACTGAAGCAGGAAAATAAACTCCAGCCACGGTCCACGGCGGACGGGCAAACAGGCCACCAGCCCCGCCTGGTGGAGAGGCGGGGCGCACGGCCCGGGGGCGTCACTTCCGGGTGAGCTCCAGCACCTTGGCCACCATGGCCCCGATCCCGTCGTGGATGTGATGCAGCTCGGTCTCGCACATGAAGGCCGGGGTGGTGACCACCTTGTTCTTCTGGTCCACGTGCGCTTCGTGCACACAAGTTAGGGAACGCAGCAGTCAGCAAGGGGGCGGGGGAGCTCCTGGCGCAAAGCACGCACGGGCCCCTGCCCGTGTGACTGGGGGACGCTTTTCCCGGTGGGGTCTCGGCCCCACTTTCACACCATCTGCGCTACTGAGCCAGCCGAGAACATGGTCGGCACGTGCTCAAGAGGAAGCAGCAGCTCACTCACTGTCTCTGCCACCAGGCTTTGTGACAGGCTTGCTGTGCAGCAGTGTGCCACACGGGGCCTCACGACAGCCCCGAGGCAGGAGCAGCTCCTGGTTTTCATTCAGATCAAGAAACTGACACTAAGAGACGCGTCCAGGTGCCACTGCGATCGCGGAGCCAGGGCCAGGTCCAGCTGGGACCCACCTCGACACAACCTGAGTTCCTGCCTCAGGTCACGCAGACCCTGGGAGGTGACAGAGCTGGCATCACCTCCACCAGTCCTCGGCGTGGGGACACATACACCTGAGACTGATGACAGAGCCACCTTCAGCAGATGGACGCCCGAAGGGTGACGTGGTCATCTCTAGGACACTGCGCTGGGTGGAGACCCTCTGGGTGCAGGTGCAGACCTGGGACATGGTCACCTGTGCCTGCGGTGCTCTGCCCCCAGCTCCTGACGGCGTCCTCAGGCCACCACCTCAGAACGAAGGACCGGCTGGCAGGAAGGATGGGGGTGGGATGCTGTCCCCCTGCGCTGCCCGGGAACATCCCCCAAGTAACAGTGGGAACCTCCAAACTCCCTCCCTTCGCCAGAGGCTGTGTCCTCGCCCGACCAGGCAGCCCAGCTGCGGTCTGGGCCTGGGGTGGGTCGAGCGCTGAGTGCCCACTGAGTGGGCTTGGAAACGGCCAGGGGACACGCACAGGTGTGCCAGCATCGGGCACTGCACCCGTCACACATGTCGGCGGATGCCCCCCCCCAGTGCAGTCCTGGCTAAGGGTGCTGCCTGCCGAGGCGCCCCGCAGGCCAGTGAGGCCCCACTCCCCACGTCCCCCTGGCTGCCCAAAAGGATATGGTCACGCCCTTCACACAGTGCTTGGCGCCCAGCTCTTTGATGGCCTGCGCGGTCCCGGCGTAAGGCCACTTGCCACCTTCCTCCTGCTCGTGGCCCACGGTGACTTCGACGCCACGGAGCACTTTGGCTGCAAGGACGGGCGCGATGCAGCACAAGCTGAAAGGTGAAGAGCGGTCAGCTCAGACCCGCCAGTGCCAACGCCAGGCCAGGGGCGCAGCGTGGCGGCCTCCGCCGGCGCTTAGGGGAGCCGAGCCCCCGAACCTTGGCCTTCCACGGGGCTGTGACTGACGGAGCCCGGGAGAGCCGCTTGTGACCGGACCCTCGGCTTCCTCCCCGTGTGCTGGCGCCTCTGGGCACCCAGGTGCCAGGGCAGGGCAGCTAGTAGAGAGATGGCTGCTCGGATGACAGCTGAGTCTCGGCTGCCCAATGTGCACCAGGCCTCCCAACCTGGCGTCCAGCAGCTCAGAGGTCGCTCCCAGAGAAGGCAACACGTTGGTGGCTTTTTTAGGCCCAAGTTTTGAGATGGTTCGTCACATAGCAACAGATAAGCACAGCATGCTGACTGGCTGTGACTGGCTGTGACCAGACCCCTCCTCTGGAGCGGGGAGGCAGACGCCGGCAACACAGCTCAACCAGCAGCCTTGTCTGGCCTGTGAGCAGCTCTGCCCGGCACCGTGAGCCAAGGGCCCTCTGAGCAGAGCACCAAGCCCGCCACACCCACGGGCAGGTCATTCCCGGGGGGGCTCCTGCCAGGCTCCAGAGCCCAGTGGCTTGACCAATAGTGCGTGCCCCGAGAACACAGGTGACACCAGCCACAGAAGCTCCAGCCGGGCCACCCATCGTGCGGCTGTCAGGGCCTGCCGTCCCCTGCCCGGGGTCCATCCCCTTCTCTCGTGTCTGCATCTACTGCTGACGCTGAGGGCCCTGCGCTGATATGGCTGCAATATGCCAGGAAAAAATGCTGCCAAAACGTGTCTACACGTTCACTCAGTGTCACAACTAAACAACTCGTCTAGAAACCTGAGTGCAGCTTTCACCAGCCACTGAGCAGAAAGGAAGCAGGGGGCTGTCTGGCGCTGCGGGGTTTCCCAGGTGCCGGAAGCCTGGCGGGGGGACCTCGTTCCTTGTTTGTGCAGCCACCTACCTGGGTCTGTGCCTCGGACACAGAAGGCCCTGCTCTGAGGGTGGGGACACACTCTGGCTCCCCTCCATGCTTGACAGGCAGGTGGAAATGACGGAATCTCCCGAAAGGAAATTCGAAGGGGGCCGAAAAGGGTGGCTGGCATAGCCAGGACAGTGCTATCGCTTTTGGGAAGAGGAAGCCAAGGGTGGCGGGGATGGGGGGGATGACCGGGAGCTTCTGATGTCACCGCCCCTGCCTGCCCCGGCTCCCCCACAGGCCTCAGCTCTGTGGACTGCACTCAGCCGAGAGGCCTGTGTAGGCGGCAGCAGGTGTCCCAGCCAGGTGGCCGACCTGCTTGGCTTCTGGACCCGTCACAGGAAAAGGCGCTGGCCACATAGATGTGGCCGCTCCAGGGACAGTGGCCCAGGAGGGACAATGCAGCATGGCCACTGCCCCTCCGTGCAGGTCCCAGGCTGGGGACGCCGGGCGGCAGGCCGCTGCTGAGTGACTACGGGTCTGAGAGACACTGTTCGTCGGCAGGGACTGTCCCTTGCAGCCTGCCTTCCACCCGGACAGAAGGGCCGAACAAAACTGCTCTTTTCGGTTTGCTGGTAATATGGTAGCACGCAGCTCCCAGGGAGGAGCCTCAAGTTTGCTGGGACGCCTGTGGCTCAGAAGTCTGACGAGATCAGGTCTGACCCCGGGGTCCCCATCGCAGGTCTGAGGCCCTTTCCTGGCTGCAGGTATGGCTGGCCTCGCCCATCTGCGAGGACCAAGGACCATGGGCCGTGTGTGACGTGTGCCACGGCTGTGCCAGTGAGTTTCAGGGTGTAGAGAAGTGAGGGGACCCCCGTGTGCAGCTGGCCTCAGGATCTGGAGCTTGGGTCGTGGCACTGTGGCCCGCGTGCAGCTCCACCAGGACAGGGTGGGGGAAACGGGGGACAGGGGACGGGACGGCCCAGAGCGACACGCGGCAGGGATGGTGGTCGCAACAGCGGTGGAGAGTGGAAGACGCGGGGTGACTGGCTATGGGGACGGGCAGGTGGAGGCAGGGGGAGGGGCGCTGGTAAAGGTTGGGAGTCCGGGAAAGACTGACTGTGGAACTGGGGAACCTTCTAGAAGCTGACAATCATTCCCTCTCCTTCCTGTTAAGTCATCAGGAAAAATTCACATAACCACATGACCACAGAATTTTCAGAGCTGGAAGGCACCTGCGAAATTGCGTGAAACCTCCAGTTAAAACGAGGAAAGGGGCAGAGTTTTCAAGACAAAACAGCTCAGAGCGGCAGCTCCCAGCTTCAAGCCACCAGCCACCGGCCAGGGGCTGCAGCCCATCACCCTGCCCGGCCCCCAGCGGAGGCCCCCGCGCGTCTCACTTACCCGATGGGCTTCCCGGCCTTGTGGAACTCCTTCAGGACGCGCTCCACGTCCTTGTTGACCTTGCAGTCTTTCCCATCCACGGCAAACGTGCTCCTACAGCGAGAAGAGGCTCCCTGGCATCCCAGTGGATGTGCAGCCCCGTCCCCCCAAGGGGTCTCACAGGTGGTCCCATCAGCTGCTCAGCAACTGATGTAATTGGAACGTGTGTGCGCGTATGTGTATGTGGCTTCTCATAGAATTACATGTTTTTCTGTTTCTTTAAGAGAAAGAAGCACATGAAGGACACCCCAGCACAAACCAAGGCCAGGGGCTCAGGCTGTGAGCCACGCCCACGTGCTCCCACAGGTGTGCTCGGACACCAAGGAACAGGACGTGCAACTGGCCTAAAAGCCGTGACAAACCCTGCTCTTCACTAATGAGGGAAAGAAATGCAAATTACACAAAACACCATCTTTTCCAGCAGAGCAAGGAGGACTGAGGTGTCCGGAATAGTCTCCCCGCCCAGTTGATGGGTGTGCACCTGCCTCTACTGTCTCTGGAAGGCAGCAAGGTCTCAAACCACAAAGCCCACCCTCTGCCAGGAGCCACGCTGTGGGCTTTTCCCTGCTGTCGGGGGGGGGGGGGGGGGGGGGATCCCCCCCCCCCCCCCAGGACCCCTGCAGAGTCAGCACAAAGAACCGGGAAGGAAGCGCCTAGTGGTGACAGGTGTTTGCTACTCCTCCGTGATGGTACCTGAGGGTGTGTTCTCACATCAAAACGCACCGTTTCACACTTTCAATACGTGTACGCCAACTATACCTCCACCAGCTACTGAGACAAAGGAGAGGATGGCAATCACATGTCCATCCGAGCGGGGTGGTCCTCCCAGTGGGACCACAAGCAGCTGTTAAGACAATTAATGAGCCAACAAGCCACACTGCTAAGTGAGAAGTACAAAGTATTGGGTTATTGGAAAAGTCATGACGCATGTTTGCGACAGGTGGTGCTAGTTCATTTTTGGAAATTCTAGAGCCATTCACATCTACCTTATTGCTGTATCATTTGACAGCTGACAGTTCTAGCTTCATTCTAAAAAAACATTGAGCGTAGGGCCGGCAGAGTGGCTCAGTTGGTTAAGAGCTCGCTCAAGAGTTTGAGCTCTGAGCAACAGCAATTCGATGCCTGGCCCGAGCTGAGCTGTCGCTAAGCTGCCAATAGGTAGCAGGATGGCTCAGCTAAAATAAAATAAAAAAATAAAAAAAATTGAGCAATTTGGTTGAGTTTTAGACATTTTACAACAAGTTGAAGATGGAGGATCAAACTGTGCATTTTCGCCGTATTTTACTGTTTTACTTCCATAAAGGGAAGAATGCGCGTCAACCTTGTGAAAAGTTGCATAAAGTTTATGGTGACAATGCTCTACAAGAACGTCAGTGCCAACGATGGTTCACAAAATTCTGTGCTGGTGATTTTCATCTCAATGATGCTCCTTTGTCAGGGAGGCCACCGAGGTTGATGACGACAAAATAAAGGCATTCACTGAGTCAAACCCAAGTTACACGACACGAGAGATTGTAGAAACATTGAACATCCATCATTCAAGCATTCACGATCACCTGAAGAAACTGGGATACGTAAGTAAGCTCGATATTTGGGTTCCGCATGAACTCAAAGAAGTTAACTGATGGCGCGTAAAACATCTGCAATATGCTCATTAAATGTGAGGAAAACGATCCTTTTTTGAAGCGACTGATAACTGGCGATGAGAAGTGGATTATTTACAACAATGTGGTGTGCAAACGGTCTTGGTCCCGACGTGATGATTCGCCTCAAACAACATCGAAAGCAGACATTCATCAGAGGAAGGTTATGCTCTCAGTGTGGTGGGATTTTAAAGGTGTCGTGTTTTTCGAGCTCCTACTGAGGAATCAAACAATCAATTCGAATGTGTACTGTCAGCAATTGGACAGTTTGAATGAATCCATCATCCTAGAACATCCAGATCTTTTCATTGTAAAGGAGTTGTGTTCCATCGCGACAACGTGAGACCACACACAAGTTTGATTACCTGTCAGAAATTATTGGAGCTTGGATGGGATGTGTTGCCACACGCACCATACTCGCCTGACCTTGCACTGTCAGACTTCCACTTGTTACGCTCTCTTCAAAACTCCTTGCGTGGTATAATGTTCAATTCAGATGAGGCTGTAAATCAGCACGTTGTTCAGCTTTTCACAAATAAAGACAGGTCCTTCTATGAACGAGGAATTACGAAGCTTACTGAAAGATGGCAAAAGGTTATCGAACAAACGGACAATATATCACTGACTGATCTTTGTTCTTTATATAAATAAATGACCTTTGAAAAACATAAACAAAACACGTCATGACTTTTCCGACAACCCAATACGTGCAGAAGAGGGAGCTTAAGAGGCTACCGTCCGGCTGGATTTATAACACACTGTATGTATGAATCTCACACAAAAGCTGGTAGCAAAGCCAGGGAGGGGGCAGAGGTCCCACGCAGGAGGAATTGGGTGACTTCCGTCACTGCCACGTGCACACACTGCACCCTAACGACCCCAGCAGCCACTGCTGCGAGAACTGGCCTTCTTCTGGGAAGGTCACGAGGGATGGGGCTGCGACCAGAAGCTGCAGCTTCCCCCAGATGTGCCTGGTGGCCCGGGGCGCCCTGCGTCCTCCAACGCTGACACAGACGCACCAACAACCAGGCACCCCTCCTTTCTGAGCCCGAAATGGGGATACAGCCCAACAAATCCTCAAACGCCCTCACCCTAGAAGAGGTGCTGACAGTCAGGTCTGTGAACCCGGCTCATCCTTGCGAGAAAGAAACCCCGGCTGTGTCGGAAGTGAAAAGCCGACATGGGCCATTCTCTCCATCTCCTGCCAGGGGGCTCATGAAGGTGGCGACGGGGAAGTCATTTAAAGGCTGGTTTTCGGGACAGGCAGTGGATATCAGGTGGGGGCAGGGCTCCCAGAGGCGTCAGGATACGGAGGGGCCGTGAGCAGTCAGACTTTAGAGAACGTAACGGCCGCTGACCCTCACTTCTGGGTGTAGGGCACCTGGACAGACAGCGCCAACCAGGGGGTCATTGTGCCACTGCAGGGGGAACGGAAACAACCAAGTGGTAAACTGACCCCACAGAGTGAGGGGTGACAGTGGGTACAGGGACCCTGGCTGAGGCTGGAAGCCCACCAACCCCGTTCCCTAAAATACTAGGAGCTTCTCATGGCCAGTGAGCGCAGGTAAGGGGCTCGGCTCTAAGTCACACCATGTTCCCACACGACTCTCGTGCAAGCAGCTGGAGACACGGGTCGAAGGGGGAGGTTTGTGGATGCAGCTCCTGGGGAGTACGGAAGGAGGTGCAGAAGGGAGGAGACTCCAAGAAGGAGCAGCGGGCAGTCCCGAGAGGGCTCAGAGGAGTCACAGAGCAGAGGGGGTGCCTGGGATGAGGGGGTACCGGATACCTGGGAAGGTGTGAACAGCACAGCGAGGGTGGAGGGGGCGGGGCAGAGGCAGGAACCACAATTCCTGAGCTGGAGCGCTGCCCAGGGCGGAGGGCGCCCTCAGCAGGGGGTGAGGAGCAAGGAGGCTACAGCACCCCCAGGATGGCCTGGGCATCCGGAAGGCTGGCTGCCTCTGGTCACAGCCAGGGTTTTGTCACCAGAGACGCCTGGGACAGAGAAACGTTCTTATTTATGACAAGGGGCCAAGCCGATATGTTGTGCTTTCATCAAAACCCATGTAGTCTAGTTGTCACACACCCTACACCGTGGGGTTATGCAGCTGTGACAGCTGTATGGTGACCTGTCACTGCGGCAGCCCTGTGCCCACCACGGAGGGATGTGCTGGGACAGTGAAGCTGGCACAGAGGGTTTCCATGAAATGCACAGGAAGAAGACACAGGGGTGACAGGGAGAAAGAGGACCTGAAACCCAAAGCACATCACAATGACGGCTTTCTGGGCTCCCAACCAGTTGCTATGGCAACAACCCAACGGGCAAAGCAAGGAAGGGCTCCTTTCTCCAGTCAGGACAGTTAGGTGACCAGAAAAGCAGATTTCCATGCTGCATGGCCTGCAGGAACACGTATGGGGACATTGGTTGTGATGTGACGAGACCCACCCATGCTGTGGTCAGGTTGGAGGGGGCCACACCCAGGACAGCGGCCAGGAGCCAGGAGGGCTTAGAAAAGAGCAGGGAGAGGAAAACCCACGCGTTGCTAAAACGCAACCGAAGCGCCATCCTACTATGGCTCCGTCACAGCACTACGTGAATTGTTTGGACCCTCACACCCCAGCAGTGGCTCATGTCACCACCTGGTCCCCATCTACCACTCTAGCGGAAAAGCACACGGCTCCAAGCTCAAACACGCACAGGTTTTTGGCAGCTCCAAAGCCCCCGGGGAAGATGGCGGCGTCGTGATTGGCAGCGCTGAGCTGGGCCAGGTTGGTGATCTTGCCGCGGGCGATCCTTGCCGACTCCGTCAGAACATTCCTGGGAAAGAGCAGAGAGAGGCCAACAAGAGGTTCAGTGTGCAGGCCGAACAGGCGGACGGAGCCTCCATGACAAGAGGCCGGGCCGGGGGGTGTGCTCACACGTGAATTTCAGGTCGGTACCTAGAAAAGGTGACAAAGCCACAGGCACCTACGTCTATGCTCGGACGGTCTCCAGAACCCTTTAGATCAGCACCTTGGAGCCCACGCCAAGTCACCTGGAGCCTCCCACATCAGCTGGGGCCACCAGAGAGACAGAACCCCCAAGTGTCTGAAGCAGACAGCATTCATGCAGGGACCTGGTGGACAGCGGGCACTTAGGAAGCCGCTGTGCGGGCTGCGTGGGGCACCCCAGCCTCTGCCACGGCAGGAGCTTCTGCCGCCCTGGGCCAGGGTCCCAGGCAGAAAGGGGCCACAGGGTCCTGACTGGGGCCCGCAGCCCCCAGCAGCCAGCCCTGCAGTTTCCTCCCCTTGCCCGCCTCTCACTGTCTGGGAACCACAGCCTCCAGGAGCCCTGTTGTCCTGCACCCCGGCAGGATAGTAGGGACACAGGCGGGGGATGCAGGTCTCAGGGCACACACAGCCTCAGCAACACAAATGTATCCAGGAGCTCCTCAAAGGCGTGTGGGGCACAGGCAGGTGAACAAGGGGGCAGCCTACGTGAGGCGCACACCTTCGGTCACAGCGGACGCATGGCGCTCACTCAACAGGAATTCCTTCGTGTAGGTGAGAGATGGTAGGGGGTGCTTGAAGGCTGGCAGCGTTAGTGCAGGCCGGCCTGAGGGAGCGAACGCCTGCAGGGTGGACGTGCATCTCAGCAGACGTGCCTCAGCTGAGACAAGTCTGCACACAGGTTCTCAGGGAGCTGCAACCCACCCGTGCACGGTCACGGACACACACCTGCTTTCGCTCTCAGAAGGCTGCCCCTTGGTGTGGTCGATCACGTGCATCTGAGGGACGTCAGGAGCGAAGATCTGGACCTCGGCCCCGCCGCGGCTCAGGTGCACCAGCGCCCTGCACGGGGGAAATCCGGCCAGACTGTGAAACACGCCCAACCCAGCTTCACCTTTTAACGAGTTTTCAAAAACAGGAATTTAGCTGAATACCAGGTATGAATCCTGTATGTTAATTAATATCCCACTTGCTTTGCCAAAACTTATGCTTGGCTTGCTAAAGATCCAAACGCCCACAACTGGAATTCACTGTCACTGAACTAGCCCAGAGGCCAGCCAGTCCCCAAGGTCCCGTCACACACAGGGTACAGGGGGCAGAGTGACCAGCTGGTGTCACAGCCTGGATATTTGGGTTCCCAGGCTACTGCGGGGTGTCTTCCTTCCACAGGCCAGCTGATGTGGGGCTCAGGGCATGTGGGGGCTTAAGGTCCTAGCAGTAAGTTCAAGTCCTGGTTCTCCCACTCAGCTGTCATGGAGGTGGGGGACACGGAGACATGAAGGTCTCCCTGAGGGCTGCTGAGCACAGCAGCATTTACTGAGGGCTGCTGTGTGCCAGGCACGTGGTAAGTCACCAGCCCACCCCAGACTCGGTGCTGTCACTGTCCCCCTTTTACAGGTGGAGGCCCGAGATGGGTACCCTGGCAGAACTGCAAGCACCCTGGCACCCACGCGGGCTCTGTTCCTCTAACCTCCCAGGCACCCCACATAACACTCTCCACCTGTGCTGGCAGGTTCCTGGCCGTCCCAGCTACTCCTTGCCTCCGCCTTCACTCTCTCGACCCCCACCCCCATCAGGAAAGGCTCCTGGCCTCTGCCGCCCACCAGCTCTGCACACTTTAAGGTTCCCTCCTCATCAGCGCCAACACCAGCACAGCAGGCACCTCCCAGACAGAAGCGCTCCTGGGCCACGCACAGCCGCCAGCCTCAGGCTCCACCGGGCGACCGTGAGGCCCCAAGCTTGGGGTGCGGGGTGTTCCCCAACCACCACCTACCTCTCCCCTGGAACTAATTCGGAACTTGACAGCCCCTACCAGCCCAGACCACTGGAACCTTTTTAAATAAAATAACAAGTCAAAGTATGAACTACTCAGCAACAGCGGACAGGTCCCATCCGTGACGGTCCGTCTGCAGCCGGGGGTTCTTGGACAGAAACCCACACCGATGCAGGAAGCATGAACGTTCCAAACCCACGCACCTGGTCCCAGTGTCTGTCACCCGTGGGTGTTCACACACCAAAAGGGAGCCGGCAGGTGCTCATCTCTAGCGACAGCACACTTTAGCAGCGGATTCTGTGTCCCCGTGCACCTCACAGGTGCAATTCCTTTGTGCCTCCCCGTGTCGCCAGTCACTTCTGCCTTTCTGACGGGAGAAAGGTCTCCCCAAACGGGGCTGGGAAGGCCAACCTCCCCCTCCCCGGGGCGCCTGACCCGAGGGGCTTACGCTGAGGCCTCGTGCAGCTCGGTCCCGTCGTAGACTCCGCACCCGGACAGCACCTGCGGAAGGAGCGCGGGTCACGGGGGTGCACCTGCTGGGGGAGGGGGGGTTCCAGCTCCGGGAGTGGGGGGTGGTGCCCGACCTCGGGGCCCCCCCAAAGCGCCCGCGGGCGTGCCCTCACCAGCGCGACCTTGGCCCCGGGGCGCGGCGCGGAGCCGTGGAGGGCCGCACGCGGGGAGGCCGCCGGTTTGTGGGGCAGGAGCGGCCGCCGGCCGGGGAGCGGCGCGAACGTGGAGGCCGCCGCCAGCCGGGGAGCCACCAGGGCCCTGACAGCCGCCATGGCCGGGCCGGGACAGCAGGGTCGGACGGTCACACAGCAGAAACGGCTCGCGCGGGACTAGCTCGGTCGCGCCTGCGCAGTCACTCCGTCCCCGCCCCGCTCCCGCTGGCGCCGGCGGGCGGGGTGGCGCCTGCGCAGTCGCCGCCCGCTTCGTCTGGTGGTCCCGCCTCAGCCCGCGTCTCGGGCTGCCCTGCCCGGGGCCCCAGCCAAGTCCCTCCCCGCAACCCCCCGGCCCTCGTACTCCCAGCTCCGACGGGGTCTGGGTCTCGCCCGCAGTGCGTCCCCGGGACCGGCGCAGGGGGCCGCTGGCCAAGCCACTGCGCTGAAAGAGTCCGCAGATAACTTGTGTCATCTCATCCGGAAAACAGCAAAGAGCCGGCGCTCAGACGTCCGAGTCGCCTAGCTGTGCGTTCTCAGTGTCGCGTGGGGATCCGCATGCAGCCCTCGCGTCGCTGGCAGGTCGCCCCTCCGTCGGCCGCTCCTCGTGTCCGCCCATGTGGGTCCCCTGGGTGTGCAGACCGCACGCGCGTCCCTGACACTGCCTGCCCTCGTGCCTCCTGTAAACTGCAGGCCCCCCACGGGCTCCGCTCGGACAGCCACAGGGAGCGGCGCGTTTTCATCAGGAACCGTGAGGTCTGTTCTCTTCCACGCCGCGCACCGCCCTTGATGCTCGGCGAGCGTCCACGCACCCGTCGTTGCAAAATGGGGATACTCTGATTCCTTCCGGTACTAGCAGCTGGAACTCGAACGTTAAAAAGAAAAAAATCTCGTTACGTATGAGTCAGTTCACATACAAACGCCTGGATAGAAGCTTTATTCTTTCCCTTGATTTACCAATTTTCAAACTAAGGTTTTTTGAAATAATTTGAATGATCAGCTGGAGGCCACTGGTGAGTCTGGGACTGCAGACATAATCCAGGGCCAGCACTTAGTGATATTCAAATTGTCCCATTTTTAAGACTTTTACAGTTAATCTCTGCAAGGAGAGGCTCATGAGAAATAACAGACATTATAAAAATTATAACCAAAGAGCTTGGAAGTTTCCTTAACTTTCATCCCTTACCTCTCCATTTCCCGAGAGCCCTTCTGTCTTTTCCTTGTATCTGGCATCCTGGGGGACCAGCCACCTCCCTTTCTCCCCACAATGCCATGCCCAGAAAGAACCTCAGCTGGTGACAAGGACATGGGGATGATGCTAAAACACGCTAGGTCTGCTCCACTCTTAGCGCGCTAACAATGCCCATTTTGACTCAGTGGGTCTGGGGGCCATGACTGCCTCTGCCAGACTCCCTCAGAGGCTTTGCTCTTGCCCGGCCTGGCGCCCTGAGCCTTGGCGGCTGCTCCTGGACCCCTACAGAGCTCCAACTCCCAGCTCTGTCACCTCTGGGGCCTCTGCTCAGCTGCACTGCACTGTGCACATGAAATTACTGAAAAGGCTGAGGTGAGGATAGAATCCAGGCTGTCATGAATGGGGATGTGAATGGACATGCCCAGTGACACGGCCCGAGTTCTGCCGACGTGAGCGCACTGTGGGTGAATGGACTCAGGTTAGAGCCCCCAAGTGCAGGTGCAGAGCTCGCAGTGGGCTTTCCTGTTGGTCGGTGGCAGTTCCTGGCACAAGTGTCACATGCACTGACCCCCCACCAACATGTTAGGCCTCACACCGGCCTGGGAGGTAGGCAGGTATCGCCTCCACTTTCAGGCATGGCAGAGCTAGGTGCTGTCGCGTGACCTATGAGTCCCACCTCTGATTGACAGGCTGCAGTCCGCTGTACACCAGGCCTGCACTGTTAGGGACGTCTACCCATGTCCTGATCCTGGAGGCTGTGGCTATTGAGCCATGGGGACCAGGCGCCTTGCTGTAGCGGAGGAACTGGTCCCAACCTCTCAGTGACCATTCCTGGGGGGCACCGCAGAACGGAGCTGCCCGTGCTGCCACAGGTCTGAGTGAGCGAGCTCCCTAGGAGGCCACCCAGTCCCAACCCCAGGGCTCCTGTGCGAGCGACTCTCTCCAAGATCAGTCAAGCAGATGCTCACCTGCCCCTGGCACAGAGGGGCCATTGGGTGGGGGCCCTGATCCCCCTGCATGACAATCACACTCAGGAAAAAATGTTTAATTCCCAGTTTAGACTGAAGTCATATTTACATGTTAGAAAACACCATCTTTTTCAGTTTTATCAAAACTTTATATTAAAAATATAAAAACTTTCATACAAAGTTTGAATCTATAAATAAGAAGCCATCGGCCTCTCTGAAAGGCGTTCTCAATAGCAGATGCTCAGCATTTCTTTATTCACACTGTGGGGTCTTGACCGCAAGCCAAGCCCGTGCTGGCCGGCCTGGTCAGCTCGCTCTGCACGGTGCTGCCGCCGCGATGGTCCTTGCAGGAAGAGCAAGTCCTCGGCGACAGCGGTGCCACAGCTCTCCAGATTGCCCTCCACTCACTTCCTGGGCCCAGGCAGCTGTGGTTCCATCTCTTCCGGGATCGTCACCGAAATGAGTGGCGTTGCAACGCAGCCAGCTCTACATCAGCAGCCCCTCTGCGTCCGTGTCCCCGTCCCCTGCCCCGAGCAGGTGCAGACTGTCGTCGTCCTCCTCCTCCTCACTCCCCGGCGGTTCCGAGGGGCGCTTCATGCCCCGCTGCCTGGACATGGCCAGAGCGTACTGCATGTTGTAGCGGTTCCAGTCACAGCTGTGAAGTGCACAGCAGGCACGTGGGTGGGTGCGGCCAGTGTTTTCCACTCCACTGAGAACCCTGGCTCGCCCAGTACCCACCACCTTCCCTGTGACCTGAGAAAAACCAGCCAGGGCTGCATGAGCCCCTCCTGCCCCACGTCTCCTCCTCTGTCCCTGCCCCTGGGGACCCAGTGACTTCCTGACCCAGCCCAGGACCCGACCCGGATGGCTTCACCAGTCAGTCCCACCAGACACCTGAGGAAGCACCAGTGTTTCAGAGCAGACAGGGACATTCATTTCCTACGTTATCAGAACAAAGAAAAACTCCACAAGCGTTTCAACGTAGGAGACCCCCGGTGAGGACGAGAGGAACAGAGCACACCTCCACAGGAAATCTCAGACAGACTCGAGGTCTGGCAGCACAGCCGCAGCACCCCCCAAACCAGTACCCAGCTGCCAGCTGTATCCCGACATCAGCATAAACCCGACACAATGAAGTCCAGGAACAACGCGTTCACATGAACCTCAAGGCCTGGACTCGATCTGACCGGAGGCACCGGCCTATGGGACGGCTCTGAGTCCGGAAGCATCCGCAAGGGGAAGGCTCTCCCCAGGGGCGGCGGTCAGCGCAGCCAGGTCACTCGGCAAGGAAAGCCTCAGGGAGGAAGGGCTGGTTCTAGGCTCGGAAAGGCTGAGGACACGGGACAGAGGACCCCGGGACCCCAGGTGCAGACGCAGGCCTCTGCCTGTGGGCACTAGGCAGACACGACAGGCAGTGTGTCACCCTCAGTACGAAGCTGGGGCGCCTGGCACTGGTCCTGACAGCACCTCGGACCCCACCTCTCTCCACTAGCCCAGGCGACGGCAGGGAGAGAGGACTCCCCCAGGAGAGGAAGCTGTGAGGCCTTCCCGGGAGGGGCCAGAGGGTGCACGAACCATAAAGAAACCGCCCGGGGACGGGGACGAAGCTCCTCCACTAGTCTAACTGCAGTGAGCCCTCGGTGAGTGATTTGTTTCAACTCCAGGCCGCACCTGACGCTGGCCAAACTCAAGTCCCACTGCGGGGCAGCCAGGCAGCTCTAGGGACCAGCAGCGAGAAAACAAGCACCCACAATGCCAGCACCTTCCATCCCCAAGCCAGACGCCACAGGGAGCAACCCTGGTGTGCAGCCAGGTGGCGTGGTGCCCCCCACCCTGCCCACTGAGCACGCCGGGGACACGTACAGTTTGGAGACGGCGTCCAAGTGCCGCTGGACGCTCTTCTGCAGGAACTGAATGGCTGGCAGCAGCTTCCCTGCCCTGGAAAAGAGATGCCCTGAGTGCTGCGCGTGCGTGTAAAGGCCCCACTTCGTGCCACTCTGCCTGTGAGCTGCCCTTCTGTCCACAATGACCAGTTGATCACGACACGGGCATCACAGACGCACAGGGCAGCGCACCGTACCTGGTCTTCAGCTTCTGCCCGTGCACCAGGAGCACCTTCTGAGTCCATAGAAGGTAGAACTCTAGGTGGTGAGACGCTTCAAAGGATGAAGCCAAAAATTCAAGCATTTTGTCCACGTACAAGTCAGGCAGGGAAGAGCTGATAACTTCAACTGCAAGAGGAGAAGGAAGCCCAGGCTCACTGTAAAGAACTCGCACCGGAAGGGAAGCTGAGGGCGGCTCGTGCCGGCGTGTGTCCCCTGCGGCCGGAGAGCCCTGCCACCCGCCCACCTGCCCGCCAGGCGCTCACTGTCGTCTGGGGGCACCGACTCCAGGGCCTCCTGCAGCAGCTTCCTCTCGTTCAGCCGGAAGGCCATGAGCAGCGCCCTGGTGAAGTCACGCTGGCGCAGGGCCGCCCGGATCCGCCCAGGGGTGACGCTGGTGTCCAGCTCGAAGGGGTCGAAGAGCAGCTGGGCATCCAGGGAGTAGACGAGGAGCCCCTCGGTGGTGGTGGCCGCCCAGCAGCGCCCTGTGAGATGAAGTCACACGGCTCCTCAGGTGCTAAACACACTCCCATGGTCCCCGACGCAGCCACACGGGAAGGAGCACGGGGACGCCTTCGTCCTGCTCCTGCCGCAGCTACCAGGTCCTCTCAGGAAGGAGTGCCCAGGTCGTTGGCACACGTCCTCCCCGCCTGGCGTGTACCAGGCAGGTCCAGCAAACCTTCCTGTTGAGGGGGCGCAGACACTTCCGACCCGCAGGCCATGTGGTCCAGGCAGCACCATCTCAACTCCACTGCGGTGCCAGGACAAAACGCACCAACCGGCTGGAGGAGCTGGTCTGTAAACCTTTCCTCACAAAGCCAGGGCGTCACCGAACCTCCCCCCAGCCAGTCTGCACCCCTGGCTCACAGCTGTACAACGTCACGTGCTACTCTGGTCCTGACTGCTCCTGTCACTCAGTCTGCTGGAGGGTGTCAGCCATTGACCCAAAGACAAACCATCTGGTCTGCAGACAGCACACACCCACTGGCCCCGGGCCCTGGGAGCACTGACTCCCACCCACTGCAGCCCCTCAGAGACGGTCTGCCAGACACTCTCGATGGTGGGGGCAGGGCGGGGGAGCAAGGCACTTGGGGGGCAGACCAGCAGGCAGCCCCCAGGACAGGCCCAACTGGTACATGTGAAGTGCGTTCAGGGCAGGTACCCGCTTGCCTATTTCCAAGCCCGGCCTGTCTGAAGTCACAGCTTTCAGAACCGTCCTCCAGAGTGGACAAAGACGACCATGTCTTACCCAAGGGGGACGGTGCAGCCCAGAGCCAGCCAGAAGCTCCGAGACCCACCTCGTCCCCAGGAGCAGAGGTGACAGGCCCGTCGTGCACACTGTGGCCCCCATGCCCACCCCACCCCTTCCAGCACTTGGAGCTCACCCGTGGGAGAGAAGCGGAGTGAAGTCACCCTGATTTCAGGTTTGAAGTGACGAGAGCTCATGTCACCTGGAAATCAAAGGAACCACTCTCAGGTATAGGGCAGGGCAGCCCTTGCCACTCACCCAACGAGGGAGGGCCACTGGGGCCACTTCACTGGCCGGGGGTGGCTGTGGGCCATCACGAGTGGCCCTCGCGCCCTGTTCGCAGACGCAGCAGGTGAGCCCTGTGCCCGGGCCTCAGATGTGCCTTCACAGGTGCCGCCGGCCTCCATGTTGGAGCCCTTGGAGTGGACGTGCCCGTGGGCTTCCGGCCTCGCGGGCAGATGGCTCATTTCTCTGGGGAAGAGGCCTCCGCCCAGCCCAGGGCTGCCAGGCAGGGTGGTTCCCACCCCTCCCGCCATGCAGTGCAGCTGCTTCACAACTGCACACAGCAGCTCTGGAGTGCAGGCCCGTCCTCCCGGGTCTGTGTCGTCATGTGCGTCCTTTCTGGCACTTACTGTTAAGTTAGCTTTTCAAAGGGGAACACATTCCCAGGGTATGAAATTCAGTGACACTAAGGTGACCTGTGAGAAGTCAGTCTTCTCGCTGCCCGGCCCCAGCCACCTGGAGCCCTAGCTGGAGCAGGTTCTGTGTGTGCCCCCAGAAATACGTTGCTGGGGGCTTTGAGCCTCGGGACAACCAATGTGGGGCTGGGTCTGTGTGGGTCCTGCAGACCCCGGGCCTCTCCATGTTCAATACCAACAGCAACCCACCCGCCAAGTTGTGACAATTACATGTCCCCAGACGGGAGGAGGGCCACTGCTCTAACACTGAGGACTAGGGAGCACGCTCCCAGTGGGGGTCTCGTGGACGCACACAGCACAGGCAGCTGGCCACGGGGTGCAGGGAGCACTAAGGACCCGCACCAGCTCTGTCGTCCTCCCCTCATCCCCAGCCAGCGGCTAAGGTGCTCCGGCTCCCTGAGCACATGGCGGGCCTCAGGTGCCCGGGAGTGGGCATGAGCCAGGGCTGCAATGAGGTGGCAGGAGGGTCAGCCGCCGCAGCACCGTGCCATGTGTGGGTTTCCTGGCTGTCCTCAAACCTCAAGTGTCCGCCCATGGCCACAGGGGACATGAGGGGCCTTCTGCTCACCTCTCTTGACGCCCGGCAACGGTATTGCGACTCCTTTTTCCTCCCCAGCGTCTTGATCAATTAGCGCCAGGTTGCCAAACTCTGTCATTTTCCTTCGGTTCAAAAATTCCTAGAAAAGCGAAACCCCGGAAGTCGTCTTGCTGTCAGGGGTGAGCAGGGCACGTCTCCCCGCTTTGCTCATGTGCATTCACAATGAAGGAAACCCAGCCCTGTCTGGAGCACGCACAGGACACACGGACCCCGAGAAAGAGGGGCGTGCATGGGGGACATCTGCCAACACGTGGCAGCTGGTCCCGCAGGCTACCCATCTGCGAGGCCCATCCTGGCCGCCCGTCCTCAGGCAATGCTGAGGACACGGTCCTGCAGAAACCCTTAGGCGGGGCGGACTGGGAGCTCCATGCGCTCACAGTGTGACCCAGCCCCACCCGGGGTCCTGACAGCCCCGCGGAGCTGGAGCTTTGGAGCCCCGGCGCGCACCCACCTCCATGGCATCCAGAGACAGGTTGCAAGAGATCTCGAACTTCTTCCTCAGGATCTGCTCCCTGACATGGTAGATGCACACGAACTTGGACATCCCTCCGGCCAGGATGCTCTGGCCGTCCGCGGAGTAGCACAGAGTGGTGAAGGCCCTGAAGCGGGGGACGGCGGCTTAGTCACCACTCAGGGCCTTCAGACGCGTGGTCCTCCCACCCTGGTGCCCCGCCTCCCCCACGGGCCCCTGAACCTGCAGTTAACAACGTCCGGTGCCCGCTCCGAGGCAACAGCACGCCCACGTGGGGGTGTGGACTGCAGCCTCCCGTGGGTACCACCTCCACACAGAAGGACTGCCTGGCTCATCAGAGCAGGTCCTTGTTGAAGTCAGAATGAAAAGGCGGCCGCCTTCCCAGTGGCCACTCGCAGGGCCAGAAACCAGGCACCTGCTGTCCTGCTGGCTTACAGGACTTGAGACAGTGACCGTGGATCCGACAGTGGATTCTTAGATATGACACCAAAAGCACAAGCAACAGAAGAAAAAATAGACCAACGGGATTCTTCAAAATGAAAAACCCTTGTGCTTCAAAAGACACCAACAAGGAAGTGAAAACAACCCACAGAACAGGGAAGATAGCTGCAGCTCACAAAATGACAGGGTCTCCTATCTTGAACACATGGAGAGCTTTCGCACCTCAACGACAAACAGACACCCCAATTAAAACAGGCAAATGCTCTGGAGACCCGCTTCTCCAAAGGCCACATTCAAATGGCCAGTCTGCCCCCGAGCTGCTCATGGACGTCGGCACTCGGCAGATGCAAATCAGAGCCGCGGAGCCCGCCTCACACCCCCCGGGAACGGCTGTAACTTCAAACAGCAGACAGTTAAGGAGTGGGGTGACAATGGGGGATCTGGGAACCCTCCACCCTGCTGTGGGCATGAGAAACGGCACGGCCTCCTTGGAAAAGTCTGGTGGTTGTCCAGGGAGTAAAAGTCACCCTATAGTCACCCAGCAACTCGTCTCCTAGGGACAGGCCTAAGGGAACTGACCAGAGGCGTCCACAGCCCATCCTCGAATGCTGCTCAGAGCAGCAGCGATCACAGTCCGCGGCGTGCGGGGACACTGCACCCTCCTAGCCCGCGCACACCCACCATGGCTTCGCGTCTCCTCTGAGAGGCAGGGCCCCCGCCCCGCGCCCGCCGAGGCACTCACTTGCCCTTGGCCGAGTGCTTCGCGGTGATCTTGTCCAGCTCCTTTCTGCCCGTCTTGAGGTCGTGCCTGCCCTCGATGGAGCCCGTCTGCACGGCGTTCTCGGGGTCCCAGAAGGTGATCTGTGAGTTCAGCGTGGCCACAGCCAGCTCTGCACCGTCGGGGCGGAAGGTCACAGCCAGAGCTGGAAAGAGGTGCAGAATCAGGGCCTGAGGAAGACCCTGGGCTCCTGCGGACGGGCCACAGCCTCGCTTCTCCTCATCACCAGCTCAGAGAGGCTCCGGGCCCCAGCAGCAACAGCTCAGAGCCACGTGCTGCATGTGCAGGCGGCCCTAACAGCCTCAGAGAGCAAGGGGGTGGGAGGGGCCGCAGGATGGGCACGGGCGGGACTGAGCAGGGGCCAGCCTGGTGGGAGGCGCGTCACAGAGGTCACGGCAAAGGTTCTGACAGAAGTGCAGGACAGGCTGGACACAGACTGAGTGGAGGTGGAGGCCAGTGTGGCAGCCTCACAAAGACAGGGTGCTGGCTGCTAAAAGCCTGACCCAGAGTCAGGGGTGTGCGGGGAGGGTGGCAGGAAGCAGAGAACCCCACAGAGACCTGTGAGTCCCGTGGCTGGCAAACGTGTTCAGTCTTCGCTGTGACCAATGAACTCTGCTGCCATGGCGAAGAGCAACCCCGATGAGACACCCACACTCGGCCCGGCTGTGCACCAGGAAACCACTCACAAACCAGGCGGCAGGGCCCACCCAGCCTGCCCGTGGGCCCTCCCACACCCACCGCTTCTCAAACAGCGGCGAGCCCACTGGCGAGCGCGAAGCGGCGGGAAGCTGCAGCCTGGGCCCCAGCTGCTCTCCTTCCCCTTCTCCCCAGCCGACACCGGTGACATGACCGGCAGCCAACCCTGAGAGCCGCGGGGTCCTTGGGGACCCTGGGTTTACATCCAAACACACAGCCACGACAGGTGGGACCAGCACGAGGCCAGGCCTTCCCTGGGTCACGACTTCCACTCCCATCCCACCATGCAGCTTACCGTCGGACGTCAGGGCCAGCGACTCTGTGGTTCTCCAGCTGTCCACCATGTCCCACAGACGCACTGTCCTGTCCCAGGAGGCGCTAGCCAGGACCGACTTCATCGGGTTAAAGCACAGACCGCTGATGGGCCCCTCGTGGCCAGACAAGACCTACAGCGGTTCAGAGGTTTAAGCTGGGAGAGCCCTGGCCGGGGCCCCCGAGTGGCAGAGGCTGGGAGATGAGGGGAGGGGAGGGGAGGCCAGGCCAGAAAACGCCGTCAGCAGTGAGCTCCGTCCGCTCGCTCCCTCAGGTCAGTCGGAGGAGCCCTACCTGCGGGTGGCGTGGGCCCCCCACCCCGACCCCGGCCGGCCCCGTCTAGAGCGGCTCCCGGGACAAGCGGCCCTCACCTCAAGCAGCCTGCCGGTCTGCATGGACCAGATGAAGATCTCAAAGGAGTCCTGGGCCCCCGCGGAAACGATCTCCCCGCTCGAGTCCACCGCCACACAGGAGAACTGGGTGGGCCGCGGGGACGTGAAGGTGCGGAAGTTCCGGTACCTGCCGGGAAGGGAGAAGCGGTTGGCATTGCTGCCCGAGGCCCCAACCCTCGTGCGTTCCCGGAGCTTCACCCCCAGCCTGTCTACACCACTTGCTTCCGAACCAGCCTGGAGCCCTCAGCCTCCCTCTCACAGCCCGGCACAGAGGGACAACCTGCTCGGAGCCACAGTCTGAGCAGAAAGGTCACCTGTGAAGGTCAAAGGCCCTCACGGTCCCGTCCATGGAAGAGGTCACAATGACGTAGCCGGTGGCGGTGAAGGTCACGCCAGTGACCCCGCTCGAGTGCTCCGTAAAAGTGATGAAGCAGAAGCCGCTGAGCGTGTTCCACACCTTGACCTGCAGTGGGCAGCAGAGGGCGGGCGGGACACGGCTTGGGATCAAACGCACGCACGCACGCACGCGCAGCCCCAACCAGGAACCCCCAACACGCATGCACAAACCCCGTGTGGGCACCGAGGCCTGGAGCAGCTGCCTGCCCTGTGTGTCCTTCTGCTGGCAATGAGGAAGGGCTGGGCATTGTGGGGGGCCCTGTGTCACCCCAAGAGGTGCAGTAAGCACCCACCGGCATCAGAGGGCAGTGGCTGGCACCGCAGACCCGTCAGCCAAGCAGCTGCATGTCTAGAGCACCCTGAGCCACAAACAGGGACATCCAAACCCTCTCCCTCAGACCCAGGGAAGCATGTAAACATCTTCAGCCCAAACAAGGCGAGGTGTACCTGTGACCTCTAGGCGACCCCACAGTAGGGCCTGGCAGGGTCCCCAGCGCCCCAGCCAGCAGGACAGGCCAGGACCCCAGAGCTCCTCCCACGCAGGCCACGTCCCCTCGCCGCTGCCCAGCCCCACCTTGCCGTCGTCCCCGCCGGTGACGATGTACTGCCCGTCGGGGGAGTAGGCCAGGGACACCATGCTGTTGAAGTGGCCCTGTTGCTTGAGCACGTAGGACTCGCTCTGCCACTCCCACACCAGCAGCTGGCCCAGGCCTGCGGGACACACGGGCCGGGTGCTGGGACCTGCTCACCACACCGACTGCCCGAGACGCCAGTGGGCCTGGGCGGCCCTGACTTGTGCTGGCACCATGACCGCCTGCCCCTGCTCTGCGGGAGGAGTCACAGGGGCAGTGTGGCCCCGCCATGCAGGCCCCGGCTGCAGCCCGCCAGGGAAGCCGGGGTTCTGAAGTCTCACTGACCGGTCCTTCTCACACAAGCCACCCGCTGACCTGCTCTGCTCACACAGGCCCCTGAAGGCACCGCCCAGGGCCCAGGTGGGACCACAGGCCAGCCTCCCAGGGCAGCACCATCTTGTTCTCACACAACCCGGCAGGAAGACAGACCTGAGCAGCCTAAGGCAATCCAGTCCCCAGAGGTGTTGACGGCGATAGATTCGATCCTCTGATCCGAGACGCTGCAGAGAGCAGGACCGGGTGAGCTCAGGAAGAGCCTCCTGTCCCCACCCTTAGGGTGGCCGGGCGAGCGAGGACAGGGCCGGGTCCTCTGGCCTACCTGTCTCTCCCCAACCCTTTCTACGAACTCCACACATTTAGAGCATCAGAAAACCCAGTGATGCCCTGCGTTCAAAGCCCTGAGCTTGTCATTTTGTGAAACCAATGTTTTGATTTTCTCTATGTTCCCAAGATACAGGACAGAAGGGAAAAACCAAAATGAAAAATAAAAACGATGTGACCCATACGTGGGACCGAAGCCCATGGGAGGGGACGGCATGTCCGAGATGGGGACGAGGACAGCAACACCTGAGTCCCCTCCAGTCCACCTCCCACCTGGCCAGGACAAAGGTGAGGGAGAACAGGTGTCAGGAAGCCATGTATGCGGCCACCCGGGGCTCCTAGGCCACTCTAGGGCCCGTGGTCAGGGCAGGCACAGCACAGCGTCTGCCTGCTCCCCTGCCAGCGCACGAAACCACACCTGCCACAGAGCAGAGGTGCCCACCTCAGGGAGTGGATGAGATTGAACTCCGGGAGCTCGTGAAGGTGGAAGATTCCAGAGGCAAAACCAGTGACCAGGAGGTGGGTCTTCCTGTGATACGCTGCGGCTGTCAGGTTGTTAAAGTCACCTTCTTTATTGAAAAAGTACCTAAGTACACGGGGACAACGGAGTTGTGGGGGGACCAGAGAGCCAGGCTGGCATCAGGCAGGCCTGGGACCGCAGACCACAGGCCCTCGCTCCATGCCAGGCACCGGCCAGGGCAGCCTGACCGCACTGCCGCCTGTGCCTCTGGGGACGACTCCCCAGTTCCTCGCGCCCACCGCTCTCCTCTCCTGAAGCGTCCTGACCCCGCGCTCAGGACCCAAAACACCTCAGCTGGTCCCCAGGGATAAGCCCGGAGACGCGGCCTCGTCCTGTGCCTCCGGGTCCTCACCCAAGACCTCCCATCCGGATCCCTCTGTGGCCACAACCCAACCCGAGGGCGCGAGGCCTGCACTCTGCGGCAGGGGACCTACTTGGCCAGCCGGGAGTATTTCACTTTGCCCTGCTGCTCCCCTGCGGTCGGCGTGGCTTTCCCTCGGATGGTGGCCTCCCGCTCGCCCTCGCCCTCGCCCTCGGCCTCGTCCTCCTCCTCCCTCTGCAGCAGGTCCGCCTTCCAGCCAGTGGGGGCTTTCAGCCGCAGGCCCTCAGGGGGTGTGTCACACTGCCACACACACAGGGCTCCGTCCTGGCTGAGCGTGTACAACTGCGAAGAAGGGTAGCACATGGGTGGGCGTGGGTCACCCTGACCCCCAGCCCACACCGACCACAGGCAGCCGTGACAAGAACCCTGTCTTAGCCTCATCCGTTCCGCCAAAGCCTGGCCCTGTGCACCGGGAGAGGCTGCCAGCGGGTGCCCACAGCCATGGCTGATTTCCCAGCTGACCGGGAGGACCTCCAGGAGGGCCCAGCACCCCACGCGCAGCCATGACCCAGGACGCTGTGGGACCAGGGACGTACGTCCAGACTGCTGGATTCAAAGAAGCAGGCCACGATGGCGTCCTTGTGTCCCCCCAGCGCGTAGTAGATGAGGTTGTCCCAGCGCTCGGCCCCGAACACCCACGTGGACATGTCTTTGCTCCCGACTGCAAAGCACCTGCACAGCGGAAACACAGCTCGTGTCTAGGACTCCCACTGGGCGCCACCCAAGCCCAGGGTGACGGGCGGGGACGGGTCAGCGGCACTAGCTGCTTCCATCTGTGCGTCTCCTGGGACCAAGAGCCTCAGCAGACATACGTCACTGTCCCTTACGGAGGCACGATGATGGTGGCAGTGGGGGTGGGGGGCAGAGCCAACCACCTGGGGAGCCTGCTCCTCCGGCCTCCCTGACCCGCCTTGCCGAAGAGGCAGGAAGGCTCAGCCTTGGGACAGCCCACCCCTGCTCCACAGAGTCCCCCAGGGTGGGGTGACACACTGCCCGGGGGCCGCACCCCCGCCGCTGTGGCCCAGCGTTCATGAGAACAGCTGGTCCCACGTACAGAGCAGCAGCCACCGCCAGCCTCCTCCACCCCCGCACACAGAACACAGGGCAGCTGAGAAAACAGCGGCAGCTCTCAGGTGCCTTTTGGGACGATTTGGGACAATTAAAAAAGCACCCCCGCTGGGAGAAGCCCACCAACATGCTCACTGATCACAGCCCTCTAGACATTTGGTGGCACAAACTCGGCCACAACGCACTGGCCAGAGCGTTCCTCCTCAGGGCCCAGATTCTGCTCCCGGTCTCAGCAACCAGGGCCACGCAGTGTGGACCTAACTGAACCAGAGCTCTCCCTGCACCCAGCCCCCTCGAGGCTCAGGAAGGCCTTTCAGATGGAGACTTCGGGTGCCACAAGGGCCAGCAGGCGCGCTCTGACAGTCGTCCCTGACAGCCCCTCCCAGGACTCACCGCGAGTCATCTGTCCAGTCGATACACGTGGTCTCATCGTAGGGACCAAAGTAGGTTTTGTCGAGGACAAATGCGTTGAATTCTCGCTTCCTCCCTGGGGCGTGGTACATCTGAGCAAGATTGCCTTTTGTGATGACGAATTTTCTGCAGCAGGAACGGGAGCCATCAGCTTTCAACACCAGGGCGTCCTGAGGCCAGCTCAGGGCCTCTGGGAAGATGGCGCACCTCTGAGGCCAGGTTCTCACGAAGGCCTGCCTCTGCTTGGCCCCAAGGGTACCCAGGCGGAAGGAGGACGCGTGCCGAGTCAGGGAAGAAGTGACCCACCCTGCGGGCCCGGAGGACAGGCCCCTCAGGCGCTCCCGCCAGCCCGGTCTCCAAGGCCAGGACAAGCCCAGGCAGCCCCAGGCGGAACTGAAAAGATGCCACCAACCCTGGTGACAGGCACCAAGGGACGGCCACTGCCTCAGATGCCGCTCTGGGGTTTGTGAGTGTGGACGTGGGTGGGGGATCACGGCTGAAACCCAGAGCTGTCCCCTCCACGGCACATCCGAGTGGGCCCAGGTTGGAGCAACCTGGAAACAGCCCCCTTTCCCTCAGGCCTTGACCCTGCCCCCCACAACACCAGCCTCACTGTGACTGCCGAGTCGGGAGCTGCTTCACAGCCCCGCTGTCTGGAGGCCGTGAGACCCACTGTGGGCCACGCCAGACCTGGAGCGAGGCAGGGAGGGGCCGTGCCTGTGCCACCCTGCAGGAGCCTGGACGGTTCAGGGACCGTCTGGACCGGCCACCATGAGGCACTGACATGGGCTCCCCCCAGTGACACCCACCAGGTCCACACAAGCCAGCTCCAGCCCTCGACAGCACCCCGTCCTGAGCCAACGGGCCGCACCTGCCATCAGGAGAGAAGGAGACGCTGTGCACAGAGCCCTTGAAGTGGAAGTGGTGCAGCACGGACCTGCAGACCAGGCTGACCAGCAGCGCGTTGCCCCCTGCAGGGAGGGAGGGAGGGAGAGAGGCGATCGCATTCGCCCCACACACAGCTGAGACGAACGCACCGAGGTTCGCTGTCCACTGCCGCAGCAGAGCTCCGGAAAGCGCCCCCACCCACCACACACGAAGTCCCGCTCCCCCTTGAGGCCCAGGGCACACAGCCAGGGAGAAACCCAGGCACGTCCACCCACCCCCACACACCCGGGCCCCAGACGTGGAAGCAACGGGAGAGGGAACCGTGCAGGCCTAGACCCACAGCAGGACTGAGTCGGCCTCATGTCACCCTGACACCCACACCCGCCACCCCATCCAGTGCCACCAGTCACCACCCTACACCACTGTCTCTCATCTCTGGGCTGAGGAGGTCACCTTCATCAACGACAATGGCGAGGCGGCCGTCCGGGGACAGCCCCACACACTTGATGTTGTACCGCGTGGCCAGGGGCAGCGTGTTGGACTTGTTGCTGAGAGACAAAAACCAGAGCTGAGCAGCTGGTGTCATGGCGTCAGGCGGGGAGGCTGGGACCACGAGCCCGCCTGCCCCCACATGCCCCTCCTGTCCCCTGGAGCCCCGGGGCCAGACTCGTCACTAATCCTCGCTCCCTGCTGAAGGGGAAGGAAACCAGCCGATGGTCCTGGACGAAGTTCTGGAAAGCTTATTAACAAGCTTAAAAACAGGCTTTGGATGCGGCAATTTTGCTTCTAGGGCTGCATCGCAGGAGGACTGGCACGAGAGAGAGCGCCGGAAGCAAGCTAACTGCGCAGCGGGAGGGACTGACCACAAGGGCAGCACGTCCATGTAAAACTTTTTACAGAAATAGGAAAATGCGCAAAAATAGAAAAATAAGTAATGTTAAAGACAAGCAACCATTGGGATAGAGTCTAATTTTGTTATTTTATTTCCCAATCTTTCTGGAATGAATGTGTGACTGTTATTCTCGAGAGCCCCTCTCAGATGTCATTCAAACAAAACAGTGACAGTAAGGACCACACCAGCAGCCAGCCCTGGGCACGACCCACACAGGCACCACTCTTGGGCACATTAGCAAAGGACTTGCAGAGAAGGCTAGTGCTATTGTCCCATTTTACTGACAGAAAAACTGAGGCCCGCAGAGGAGGGCAGAAACCCAGGCAGCCTCTGTGGCAGGAGGATCTTGCCCGGGCCACACAAGTCTGGGAGGTGGTGACAGCCCGTTCAGTCCCCCCTTAAGAAAGGGATGCAGCCTTGGCTGGCCGAGTGGCTCAGCTGGTTAAGAGTTGGCTTAAGAGCGCGAGCTCTGAGCAACAGGGCCGCCGGTTCAATTCCCACATGGGCCAGTGACGCTGTGCCCGAGCTGAGCTGCTGCTGAACTGCCAACAGGTGGCAGGATGGCTCAGCTGGTGAGAGCACGTGCTCCTAACAAGAAGACTGCCTGTTCGATG